CCAGCCAAGAACAGCCTCATTTAATAAAAAGTCCTCCAGCCCCCAACCTGAAAGCCTGCTGCAATTTTGTACAATACTGGAAGTGACTTCAGAAATATTGAATTCAAGGAGTTCAAACTTGTCGAAAGATGATTTCAATCATCAACTTTTTTCCTAGGGGCATCAATCAAGCATTTAAGTAGGGTTTTAAGCTACTTGGGGGGAAAACCAAAAAAAAAAATGAAACCCTCAAAAATTGGGTTTAGGGTCCCAACCTTTCTAATGACCAAGGACTTTTTTCATTAGTTTTTCCTCCCCTTGGACTGCTAATATTTTTAAGTGTTTTGCCTATCAAATGAATATCCACTTGCTCTTATTTTAAGCTAACATACAATTCAGTTAAGCTTTCTGAAATAATTTAACACTATTTGAGGACTGACATTAATGATTTGGGAAAGCACTAGGGGGTAGGGGATTCTGAAATGGGAACCATTGAATAAAGCTGCAATACAGTGTTTTGCTTTGTTTTGTTTTTCTCACCTAACTGTATCTTTAGAAAAAGGAACAACAATGACATCTTTGTGCTTTTGCAGATCGTCCAGTATTCTAGTAATTGAACAGGATAGTAAATCTGCACCTTCACCTTGACCACGAAGAGCAACCACATGGTCTCTCACTTTACAGCCCTGTCATGTAAGCGACACTAAATTAGGAAAGTTGGTTCACAGAAACATTCCTTTAAAGATCACTGTATGTTTTTGTTCTTCTTTGCCTAGTCATGTCAGTATATATACTATTTTACAACTTTTTCTCAAGAAAAAATACTCCTAATACAGAAGAGATTGAAACATTAGTATATAGTTTAACAAATACCCAAGAATATCCATATAACCACCATTCACATTAAGAAATATAACATTGCCAATACTCCAGGAGTCTCCACCAGCCATTTCTAATCATAATTGTCTTCCACTTCCAGAAGACAACCTCTATCCTGACTTCTATGACAATTGCTTCCTTCTCTTTATCATTTTCCACGTAAGGATGCATCCCTAAACACTATACTTTAGTTTTTCCTCAGCTGTTTTGTTTCAATATTATGTTTTTATGATTCAACCATATTAACCACATGTAACAATAACATTTGCTTTAATGTACTCATATAGTATTCAGTTGCATGAATATACACCATTTGATGAATGGTTTGTTTCCAGTATGGGGCTATTTCAAACAATAGTGCTATGAACATTCTTTTATATGTTTCCTGGTGCAGAAGTGCTCATGTGAACCAAATTATATTACCATTAATTATATAAGAATGCCCATTATATTCCACATCCTTGCTAACACTTGGTCAGACTTTTAAATTTTAGTCATTCTGGTGAGTGTAGTGGTATCTCAGTGTAGTTTTGCCATTATATTCCACATCCTTGGTCAGACTTTTAAATTTTAGTCATTCTGGTGAGTGTAGTGGTATCTCAGTGTAGTTTTAAATTACATTTCCCCAATTACAAATGAGGTTGTGTTCTCTCTCACAGATCTCATGAGACAGCTGAATATTTTCTTGTGTGACATGCCTATTGTCTATCTTTTCCTCACTGATTTTTAGGAGTTTATAAAACATTTATATTCATAATATGAACGTTTTATGAGTATGTGTTGTGAGTTTATCCTCAGTTTCAATATTCTGTCCCAGATGTGAGTTTGTCTCCTCAGTTTCAATATATTTAATGTAGTTGGTGTAGTTGAGTTTATCCATCTCTTCCTTGATGGTGTTATCTTTTAATAGCTTTATTAGTTTTCCTTTCACGTATAAGGCCTTTTTTGGGAATAATTTGGGGTACAGTGCAATTCCATTTTTCTCCCCATATGGATATCCCAGTGTCCCAGTACCTCTTACTGGAAAGTCCATTCTTTGCCCATTATTCTGTAATACCACTTTTGCTGCAGTCAAGTATTCAAGTGGGTCTATGAGTATTACTGAGTGTTCTATTATCTTCTAATGGTCCATATGTCTACACTTTGCCAGTATCACCCTGTCTTAATTACCATAGCTTTGTAATAAATCCTGATACCTGGTGGAGCAAGTGCTTCTACCTTTGTTTTCTTTGAGAGTACCTTAGCTATTCTTGACTCTCTGTATTTCTGTATAAATTCTAGAAGCAGCTTAGCAAAGTTCCAAAAAAAAGCCATTGGAATTTTAAAAAATTTATTTTAAATTAATTTTTAATTGAGAAATAAAAATTGTATATTTTAATGGTGTACAACACGATGTTTTGAAATATGTACACATTGTGGAATGGCTAAATCAAGCTATTAAACATATCCATTTCCTCAGTACTCATTTTTTTGTGGTGAGAAGATTTAAAATCTATTCCATTAGCAATTTTCAAGTATCTAATCCATTGTTATTAACTATAGCTACCAGGTTGTACAATAAACCTCTTGAACTTATTCCTCTTGTCTAACTGAAATTGTGTATCCTTTGACCAACATCACCCCAATCCACCCCTGGTAACCACCATTCTTCTCTCTGCTTTTACGAGTTCAGCTTTTGTAGATTCTGCATGTAAGTGAGATTATATATTTGTCTTTCTGTGCCTGGCTTATTTCATAACATAATGTCCTGCAGGTTCATCCATGTTGTCATAAATAATGGAGTTTCCTTCATTTTTTTTTTTTTGTCCTTTTTGAGACTGGCCGCACCGTGCTCAGCCAGTGAGCGCTGTGAGCGCACTGGTCATCCCTATATAGGATCCGAACCCGCAGCGGGAACGCTGCTGAACTCCCAGCGCCGGGGAGCGCTGCTGCACTCCCAGCGCCACACTCTCCCGAGTGCACCACAGGCTCGGCCCTAGTTTCCTTCATTTTTAAAGGATGAATTATATTCCATTGTGTCTGTATACTACATTTTCTTCATCCATTCATCCATTGGTGGGCACAGATTGATTCCGCATCTTGCCGATTGTGAATAATGTTACAATTAACATGGGAGCACAGATGATTTTTTAAAAAATATTTTTTCATCATACTGATTTCATTTCCTTTGTCTTTTTTTTTTTTTTAAAAAGATGACCGGTAAGGGGATCTTAACCCTTGACTTGGTGTTGTCAGCACCACGCTCACCCAGTGAGTGAACCGGCCATCCCTATATGGGATCCGAACCCGTGGCCCTGGTGCTATCAGCACCGCACTCTCCCGAGTGAGCCACAGGCCGGCCCATTTCCTTTGGATAGATACCTAGTAGTGGGATTGCTGGGTAATATGGTAGTTCTAGTTTTAATTATTTGAGGAACCTCCATACTGTTTTCCATAATGGTTGCACTAATTTACATCCCCATGAACAGTGTTCAAGGGTTTCCTTTTCTCCACATCCCCACCAGCATTTATCTTTTTTCATTTTGATAATAACTATTCTAATAGGTGTGAGGCAATATCTCATTACAGTTTTAAT